TTTTAATATCATTTCTCGACCTGCACTTTTTACAACTTTTGGCATCGTAAATAAACCTTATAATGCACTAATTTAATAATAAACTCACAAAATATCTACCACAACAAACCCACCTTGACAACATCGACAAACGACAACATGGCCGAACTCCCCATTTGTCAAATTTAGTTCCACAATTGTCCGCGGGACTTCTTTCGTGAAATGGACTCTAGACTTGTACGCAGAACATTCACACATTGATAGAAAGGACATCTGTCATTTTCTCAAGTCTGGTAACATCAAAGCGTAAGGTAAGATCATGATAAGATGGTAGCCCATTACCTGCCTTACATGCCTGCGGCATTAAGTCCACCTTATGTACATTTTGTGCATGAAGCTTTGAAATAAATAAATAAATTACCCACGCACACATAAACGACAAAATTAATAACCCACTGACATTTTGGCGCACTCTGCACCAAAGAGTAATAAGTATAGGGGATCTCTGCACTGCTTCAATCATTACTGAGTGATCATGTCATGTCCGCCTTTTTGACCATCCTTGGTATGGATGGTTGTTTTTTTATTTAATCGTATTGTAATCAGTACTAAATTAATATCGCTGACATTTGGATGAGTTTCTACTATCACTATGCTTATGCTATTCCTTCACGATCCCTTCACTCGTTAAACTTATTGGCTGTGGGAGAATGGGAATCAGGATGCTGGCTTCAGGCACTCCCGTCACCCTTCATAGGTACTATGTTGGATGACATTACGTTCCGCCTAGCTGTATGCTTACGTTTAGGTGCTCCTTGTGTTTCTCCGCATTATTGTCACTGTGGAGAGAGAGTCGAGGGCTTGGGACACCATGGTGTTTGTTGTTGCAGAAGTGCAGGCCGCATAGCTCGCCATGCCAGCATCAACGACATGATTCGTCGTGCTCTTGCTTCAGCCGATGTACCAGCCATATTAGAACCTAATGGTTTGTTACGTGATGACGGCAAAAGACCAGATGGTATGTCGTTGCTGCCGTAGAAAATGGGTAGGCCTTTGGTGTGGGACGCACGTGTGTAGACACCTTTGCGCCATCACATCTTCTAAGTGACGCTGCATGCGTTGGTGCGGCCGCTTCCGCGGCAGAGGCCAAACGGCGTAAATATTCAAATCTAGTGGGTAACTACCTACTGTTTTGAGCCGTTTGGGGTCGAACCACTTGGGCAACGGGGTCCCAGTGCACACTCTGTTTTTAAAGATATCGCCCGTAGGCTAATCGACTCTACACGTCACCAGAGGGCTGGCTATTTCTTCAGACAGAAAATAAGAATTGCCGTTCAACGTGGCAATGCTTCCAGTCTCCTGTTCCCTGTGATAGTGTTTCCCTGTGATAGTGTTCCCTGTGATAGTTCCCCTGTGATAGTGATGCGGACGAATACTTTGACGCCTAAATTGAGGGTATAATTTTTGTTGTTTCCTTTTTTTTACTTTCATTTTATTTTATAGTTTAGTTGTAGTTAATTTGAAGTTGTAAGTATTTAAGTAAGTAAGTAAGTATACAATGTAATAATTATATCTCTATGTAATAAAAAAATACGTTAAACTGTCGTTGTCATGTCAAAAATCAAATCAAATGTCAATGTCATTGAAAGACTATCGATCGAATCGAACGAACCGCGAACGATGCAGAACGTGGCTCATGGCTGAATCTGAATAAACTCAATCCATAAATTGTAATTAATTATCTTGATTGTTGGGTTAGTAAGAATATCATAAAATAATAATTTATAGTGCCTTATACATACCACACATATTTGGAACAAGATGTATCACATGAAGAAAATAATAGATCATGACAAAGAAATCTTTTTGCCGAACTGCATGTATTCCGTAAAATATCGCACAGACTTTTTCCAAGAAGATTATAGCGATAGCGACATCGGTATCAGTGCCCAGGTTATCAAGTTTCTTAAGGTTTTTGTCACTAAAATTATTAAATTAACATTATTATAATATGCATAGGTCACAGCTTGCTAACATTATACATTACTATTTATTTAGGTTATAGAATAGTATGCATTCTATAAACTAAATAAATGAATAAAATCAAATTTCTTCATTTAAAGATGTCTGTATTGTAATGCTATGATGAGGGTCATCATAATTTATGACTGATATATCTAACACATATCACCTATTTTTATTTAAACTGTCAAACACCGCGAGGACACCGGTGACTGCATCCTATTGTTCTTTAAACTGTCAAACACCGAGCGGTCACCGGTGACCGCAACCTATTATTCTTTAATTGTGTCTATAATGACGGTACTCAACGAATTAATTGTGTCTATAATGATGGTACTCAACGAGTTAAAGTAGTTTAATTTTAATAAATCTGGAGAATTATTTACCTAAATGAAAACTAGTTCTGGTATAAATATTTATCTTTACAGGGATCAAATAAAATGTCGGAGTTGGAGCAACGCCAAGAACAATTATTAAAAAAATTGGATACTCTCTATGATAGAATTAAAACAATTAGTTCCTACTGCAAAGTGGACAACATTCAAGAAACCAAAACATATAAACCAGAAAAATGTGTAAGTTTATTTAAATTTGATTCTTCTGTATAATAAAAAAAAATAAAACGGCTGTAAACCTCTTATATACCGCCCGTATGCGAGACAATAGAAAATACGTTATGTCTCGTGTGTATCCACGTCTTAGACACACAAAACGTTAAAGGAAAACATTTAAGTATCAAAATGGCTATTTACTACTCTATTCATATAAGTAAATACTTTTTTTTCAGCTACCTACACCAGAAGAGGTTGTGTTGGTTCTCAGCCCAGACAGTTTGCCCTGGTATCTCAATCTTATTTTAAAAAAGCCTATAGATTTGAATATTTCATGGCATATTCACTCTTCTGTGCCAAATGAAAAAGTGGCTAAAATTAAAAACTATGTTAAAAATCTACAAGAAACTAAGAGTAATTCTCCAATCAATTTGAGGCTGATATTTAAATGTGGTATGTTTCTAATATGTATTTGTTACAAATAAACAGTAATTATTTATTATGAACTACAACAATAAGTAACTTGGTATTGTTTTTATTTACCAGTTTTGGCTGATACCGAGTTGAAGATCTCTACCCTGGATGTGCCTATTGTAGGCAATGTGAATATATTACGCTACCTTTCTTATGTTTATCCAAGTTTAATACCTTACAATGTTAATGATCATCAGGTAGAAACATTGCTTGATATCTGCCATGTTCTGGAGAGAGCATCAGATAAGAACAAAGAAGCACTTGTCAAGAAATTATTTGCAAATGAAAAGAGCTGGATTAATGGCAATGAATTTTCTATTGTAGATGTAGCTGCTTACAATGTCATTAAGCAATGGAAAAATGTACCTAATTATATATCAAAAACCTGGTTTGAAAAAACTAACAAGTTATTTTTGTAATTTTAAATGTAAACTTATGTATGTCCTTATACTACTTATCCAAGTAAATAGCATTTGACACTTATTTGACTTTTTCTTGCCAATTTACTGCTAACTCTTGGAAGACTGATTTTAAAATTATTTATGTTTTAAGGATATAAGCAGCCGCTGATTCCCGTTTTTAGCTTTGGTAAATCAACAGCCTTAAAGTGATCTATCATCATAAATCAAGGAGCAAAAACAAATACAGTTTAGGATTCAATTAATTCTATTTAATAGGTAAATAAAAAAAATATTTATGTCCTAGGATACAACTATTGACAAAGTTGGTTTAGTCTTTGAATTCATGGCACACCTTAATCGGATTTTTTTTTTATGTTTTGTATGTACATACGTAATGATAATCGTTTTCGATTTGCAGTGATATACGATCAAGTGATGCCGCTAAATTATGAAATCATGCGTCATCTAATATTGAAAACCATGTATTAACAAAAAATTATAGTCATATCATCAGAGTAATTTATCTTTTTGATATTACAGTTTATGAATAATAGATATGTCATTAGTTATAATTTAAAATACATACATAAATCACAGGTTATTTTAGGTAAATTGTGCCAAATGTTTTTGAATAAATACCAGGTAATTTTAGTCACCTTTAAAATATATGTACACATGTAAAGGATTAGACACTAAATCTATCAGTCAATTGCATATTAATTATAAAAAATATTATAAAATGCTAAATAACTATGTGCTTATTGGTCTATTAGACGAGTCACTTGAAACTGGAGTTACAGATTATAAACTAGACACTAATCAATACTGATTAAACAATAGTAATACATAATTAAAATTTTAAGTGTGACAAAATGTTCCATTTCCATTTTTCAATAACGGCCAAGTAATATTATTACGCTAATAATAATAAATATAAACTTGATTTATTTTACTTAAATTCGAATAGTATATATATACTGGCTGACTTGCACATTGAATAGTTTTGTGGAGAACAGCCGACGTATTACTATTCTTATAGTACTTCACAACACCTCTTGGTGTTAAAAGGTTTTTCGGATAGAGTAATTACATAATATAAATGTTGGCGAATCACTCACACGAAAAATATGAGGATTCAAACAAGTTTTATTGGATATTTTCTACTTAGAACTGGAAAAGATATTTTTTTATACATTGTTTAATACTTTTTTTATTTATAAGCGGCGCGGTTGACGGAAAACAACTTGCATCAAAAAGTAATGTCTAATAAACATAATAATAAGTACATACGCAAAGTCTAACCACTTGAACATTCTCCACCCCCTTTTTGCCAATAGAGTAAAGTAATTACTTTTAACAACGATATAACAAAAGGAGCATGAGCATTCACAGCAAAGTTACTTTTTCACTGCAGACCACAAACTTGTATGCTACAAGAGTATCACACATACCTCACTATTCACTGCCATCCTTCACATTATGTATTATATGTAGCTGCGCCAAACTTACAATATTATAGTGTACTATTCAATTGCAGATTAAATAAACGAGATCTCAATATTTTATTTTTAACTAAATGCTGATGATAGCTGCCGTTCGTCAAAAATAGCTCGTTACTTAACAATAGTTTTATGTGCTTCTTACTCAATTTCTAATTTGTGGTATGGCATTAAATATTAATGTAATATTCAAATTATTTTTTTCCATGTTTATGATTGAAAACTGCAACTGTATGAACTTTAAGTGTACATAATTTAAATTTACTTTTATACGAATATATAATTTAAAACTTCTTAATACGTAATCTGAAACATCATAATTTTATTACAGATTTTCTACCAATTTAGTTAAAGCTTATAGATTATATTCGATATGTACAATAATTGCAATAGCTAACATTTAATTAAATTTAAATAATTGGGAATGGGCAGTGTAATGTTACATGTGCACGGCTTCGGCGGGTGCCGTGCTGGCAGGCTCCTGTCATACGAACGAGGAGAAGCCTGGCAGCGGAGCTCGCGAGCGCGCCATGTTGTTCATGACGATCTGCCCGCCGTTTAGGCTGACCACGGCGCTGCCTTCTGGCTCCGAGTCCGTATAACTTGAGTAGTTCCTCACCGGTCTCTGCCTCTTCCACGATTGACGTAACGTATCATTTACGTTAGCGTAGTGGTTTACAAAACTATGTGGCTCCGATCTTACACTCTCGTTTTCACTTTCCGAATTCTGCGGAAAATAAATATATATTCATTATTTATTATATCAAGTAGCGGAATACGATCTAGTATGTATTTGCAGATTAATTTATATGATGAGAACATACATCATTATTTAAAGTTTTCGTTATGAAATGAGAAATCAAAAACAAAACAAGTTTTAACGTACTTTAAAACTATTAGATATTTTTTCAAATCATACACAAGAACACAGCAAAATTAGTAGATTATCATACTGATCATTTATCTTGTATTTGTTTTTGTCTGTCTCATTTCTAGTAAAATGTTTAAGAACAAGTTCTGAGATGTTTAAAGATGATTTAACTGACTGTTATTTTTTATAACATTTTTCTACTGAAAATATCTTATAAACTAAAATGCCGCTAAGCCTAACCTACGAAATTCAACCCAACAAAAATACGACTACGTGCTGAATTCGTCGAAAGCGTGTTCAAAATGATAACGATAGCTGTAGCGAGATCTCGTCGTCGATATTTACCGTAACGCGCTCCAGGGAGTGATGGAGAAAAAATAAGGGGGTCATTTAGTGAGAGTGTAGACGTTAAACGCGGGTTTAAACAACACTGATTTTTATAGTAATAACCTGGGAGTCGGACGAACTCATCTCCGAGGGTTTCTCGGTAAGCGAGGAGTCGTCAGGGTTCTCATCGTAGGCGCGCAGGCTCTCCTCGTCGCTGTGGTAGGCCACGGAGCCGGGCGCCGGCCGCGGCGGGGACTTTGGCAGCGCGGCCCCGCGCCGCAGCGTGGCGCCGGCACCGGCACTGCCGCACGAGTTCTGGCGCCCGCGGTAAAGCTCCATGGCCAGCGTGCCTCGCTCCGAGGTCTCTCCCGCTAGAGACTCCTCCAGAGTTTTTTGCGCTTCTTCTGAAAACACGGACATTGTCGTAGGCATTCATTTTTACTCACTGATTTCTGTCAATCCCGTAAGTAAACACACCTATGAATAGTGGTTAGTATTATATGTGGTAAAGAAACTTACTTTTGTATTTGTAACTCTTGCTTTTCACACATAGAATTGCAATGACCATTATTATGATGATAACTGACGCAGCTGCTAGCGCGACCATGAACCAAGTGCGTCTATAGAATGGCCGATATTGTAAATATCCATACTCTAAGTATAACTTTGACGGTGTGACGATGACTTTGTCGCTGTACGTTGGGTTGCTGATTCCATACATATTGTAAGCTATCACCCGGAATGAGTATGCCGTTGATGGTAGAAGACTTTGGTATGATATAGTGAACTCTTCTAACACTCCATTGCTGGTTCTGGTGATAGTTTCCCATCTAGTGTCATCTGCATATGTAAGGAAAGAGAGCATTAAAGGTTAAAATGGCAAAATTTGAAGGTTATGTAAATATACATACTTAGATGCAAAATAATAAGTACTTTTCATACATTATGACATAAAAATCATGGTGTGACTTATGCTTACGGGTATTATAAATTCAGATCAGGTTAGGTACTTTTACAAGATGCAGATAATGACAAAAACTTACAGGCTTGCCACGATTCCTTGGCTGCATTAAAACATAATATTAATACATACGTCACATACAAAATAATTATTTGTTAACTAGAAAAAATAGCACCATTCCAAGAAAGGTCGAAAGATCCACGAACGATATATTATGTTAATATGTTTAATGAAGTAGTAGAAGTGTGAGCAAACCTTTGCGGCGCGCTTCAAAGTAGTATCCCAGTACAGGCGCGGCGGGCGGTGTGGTCGGGGACGAGGCGGGCGCAGCGGGCGGCGGCGCATTGAGCCAGCGCAGGCGCAGCGCGGCCGGCTCGGGCTGCAGCAGCAGCGCGCGCGGCGGGGCCGGCGAGCCAGGCCAGCCAGGCTGCGGCCCGGTGCGCACGCGCGCGTCGGCCGCAGCGCCGGCGCCGCCGCCGTCGGTGACGCCGCGCACGCTGAACCGGTACTCTACTTCCTCCTCCAGCCCGCCCACCGCCAGCCGCCGCTCTGTCACTTTTTGCTTCACTTGCTTGCTGAAACCTGTCCCACACGAAACATTCCTTATCATCATCATCATCATCATGAACGGCCTATAAGTGTCCAATGCTGAGCAAAGGTCTCTTTTCATACAAAGAAAGTATGCGCATTAATCATCACGCTTGCTCAAGGTGGATTGGCGATTTCAAACTTACATTTAGAAATTATAAGGCTTAGGTTTCCTCACGATGTTATTCCTTCAGCATAATTTGTCATTGGGGTCCAAAATAATCCTAAAAAGTAGGTACATTTAACTCAGAAAAAACCCGATTGGTACTTGCCAGGTTTCAAACTCTAACCGTCTTATTACAAAAGTTCGACTTAGTACTGGTACTACCCGGTACTACCCGGACTATAAGATCTAGGTTTGTTACGGTCTTAAGGCTAGTACCAGGACTAGAATTTGTTCCAATTATAAAACTAAGACTATTCGGGGATCAGCTAGTACCAAAGAAAGTCCATAGGCCCACAGATAAAAAACATAAATATCATTCTTTCATTCGTTCATTCAGGATCCACTTGGAGCAACGTTCCGTTCGTCTAAATATTGTTATCACAATAACGCCTGAAATGCTTAAATAATTATGTATTAACACAAAATTATATCATAAAATGTTTTTTGTTTGTGTTACAATATAGTGAACAAGCATAACTTGTATTTTGACGAGCTCTTTATAACCAAGTTGTCATATTTTTTAACACATCTAGCGTGAAATGGAGCGACTTATAAGAAGGCGGCAGAGCACGAATCACATATTGAGTCTTTTTTATTATATAAATATTATTGTTTATTGTGACTGACTGGAAATGGAACAACAACTGTACTTATATCGAAAGTCTTCGTCACTGAAGTCAAAGGGATTTACACCATGGCGATGTCTGTACGATCGCCGAGACGTCTCTAACATGTCCAAATCTTCCAAATCTTTTAAATCCGTATAAAATAACATCAATCGGTTCAATATCCATTTTACAATTATAATAATATAGAAGATACACGTAAATATTTCTGATAGCTAACCTCAAATAACTTTAGTACCGAAGTTAAACTAGGGGTCTCGGCGGTTTAACTTTAGTACCATAGATAGTTCCGAAACTAGTGATAAACTTTGTTTTATAATAACGTTTTATTTAGCCATGGTTTAAACCTAGTATTAATCCTGGTACTAAAAATAGATCGGGTTTTGTAATAAGACGGTTAAACATTTTCCACACCACGCAAATCATTCCCATGATGACTCTTCCCACATCTTTACGGGACGGGACTCGCTCAGTCGCAAATTTAAAAAAAAATGGATGTTTTGAAACTAATTGCACTAACCGACAGTAAAAAACTTACGTTCATCCTGTTCTATAGTTTCATAAGTGACGAGATAAGCTTGAATGATGCCATTGCGACGATAGGGCGGGTCCCACGACACGACGAGACTGTTCATTGTAATGTCTGTGAACGTTATATTGCGCGGAGCCGACGGAAGACCTTGCAAGGTACGGACCATCACTGCAGTTGAACGAGGACCATCTCCGGCAGCATTGAACGCAAGCACCTGCATGAATAATATAATAAACAACTATTAAAACCTCTAATTAATCAAACAATAGTAATTAATCAAACAAAGTTTACGTAAACCTTATATAGGTTTTGCTAAACTTGCAGTGTGTGTATGAAGTTTGCAACTACATTAACTAAAAATCGCGGCTTAGTCACTAGTTTCGAATCCCTCTGGGTTCTTACTAGTAGAACTTTTCTCAGTATTTTCACGTGAGTAACCCGCGATTTTTGGTTAATTTTGCATGTCCTGCATGGCCCATAAATGCTTAGCTGCCTAGAAGCTTGCTTTAAAAAAAGTCTTTAAATGAAATTTATTTCATCTCATATGATACACACCTGTATTTTATATTGGGTATACTTGTCAAGGAAGACGAGTGAATGTGAAGTAGCTGTAGCAGGTACCACTTCGATCTCTTCCTCTATACGTCGCCCTGGCTCCGGGTCTTCAGGAGAATCGGTCACTAGGTAGAAGATCTATCGAGAAAAAAAATTAAGAGTTTATACGTGTCGTAATGATATTCCAAAGTAGTGTAGGGGAAGTTGTAGTCCTCTTCCATAAGCTATGTTCAGATTTTTGGGGTCAGTTCGCATAGGCAAATTGTGTATTTCTTTATTATTTTATGGTTATGCTTATTGCCATCATTTGGCTTCAACAATGTAGGAAGGTACTACCACGAAAAATCTGGCTACAGATCGTGTCGGGTTATAATATACATAGTAAGCTCACGATGTAGGAGAGCGCACCTTGTACCCGAGCAGGTCCCCGTTGTGATGCGCGGGCGCGGGCGGCGCCCAGGCCAGCGCCACCTCGGTGGGCGACAGCGCGCGCGCGCGCGTGTGCGCCGGCGCCGCCGTGGGCACGGCCTCGCCCACCCACACCACGCCCGGCGTGCCGCTCGGGCCCGCGCCCTGCGAGTTCACCGCGCACACGCTGATCTCATAATTGCGGTCCACTGCCAAGTCCGTCAGGACTACTTCCTCGCTCTGCAAACGTTATAAACACATACATTACATATATACGTTATTATAATTAATCTTTTTATGAATTTCTTGTAGTTTCTATGTAAATATTATAATAATATTTCGTACAAAAAAATATTAACCATAATAAATACGGAAAAAAGGAATGAGCAAAATTTGGTCTTACCATTCACGAGTTTCGAGATTGAGAATTCATTTAAGCGGTACAGATATAATAGATCTGGACCTAGTCCTGGAAAAATTGAAATGTAAGGAATGAAGGGTGAGCCGTACCTTGGTGCCAGGCACGTCCTGCTTCATGACGTGCTGCAGCGCGGTGGGGAAGTCAGTGAGCGGCTGGTACCGGACGCGGTACCCGCCCGAGCGCGTGTCGCCGCTCCAGTGCGCGTCGCCCAGCGGGGACCACTGCACGCGCACGCTGTTCGGAGTTATTGGCACCACGTGCAGGTTCTCAACTGCTTTACTCGGTGCTACCGAAACAACGTTTCAATATATTAGGCATACACATTTCATGTTAACATCAACCCGTATAAATTTAGTAATGAACATCAAATTGACACCAAAAATTACGAATAAATTTAGTAAGTGAATTTGTGTGAATGTTTGTTTATCAATCATGTTAAAACGGCTAAAGGATTGGAATGAAATTTTAATCTAGAACATGGGAACGTGCTCGAAGCCACTAGTTCAAGCTAATTATAAATAACTATAAAAATTCCCCTCGAAATTTATTAAAAACCGTAAGAAAATCCGTTGCGTAATTTTAAAGATCCAAGCAGAAGGACAGCGGAAAGCTATGTCATAATTTTCAAATACTTAACTTACCAGCAGGTAATGTCCGAACAGTTTCAGTTGCGTTACTGTACCGACTCGGCCCGATATCATTGGTCGCGCGGATTCGGAACTGATACGCCGTAAATGGTTTCAAACCCTCAGCAGTATATGACGTCACGAAGGGATCCACACGCTCGGGAATTGTTTGCCATGTCCCTCCATCTTCTTTTTGTTGTACAGTGTAGTATCTGTAATTAATTTCAACAAAAATATTGATGTTGTACTAAATTTATTATAGCTGGAGCTACCTTTTTTAGCATGGGCCGGACCCCAGACACACCCACAGCACCAGAAGAGCTACAACTGTTGTCGGCCTTTAAAAGATTGGGGATGGGATGAGGATCGGATCTACGGGAACCTCACGCATGCGTTGTTTCACAACGATTTTCCGAGACGGTAGTATCACTCCGGTCGCACTGGGTAATCGAGATTATATCAGTAACTAGCGACCCGCCCCGGCTTCGCACGGGTGCAATATGCATGTAATATACATACAAACCTTCCTTAAGAATCACTCTATCTATTAAAAAAAACCGCATCAAAATCCGTTGCGTAGTTTTAAAGATCTAAGCATACGTACGGACATACAGCGAAAGCGACTTTGTTTTATACTATGTATTGATAACAAGGTTGTTGGGACTATAGTTACCTGAGCGGTGCGTAGCCGTCGTCCCCGGGGGTCCAGGAGAAGGTGATGTGATGGGGCTGCAGTAGAGAGCGCGCCACGTTGGGCCTGGCGGGCGGCTGCGGCGCGGCGCGGTTGGCCGTGGTCAGCACGAGCGCGCGCGCCGTGGCGCCCCAGCCCAGCCGCGTCTGCGCGCGCACCGCGAACTGGTAGTATCGCTCCGACACCAATTCCGTCGCCCTACACACATACGAGGATTTGATGATTACCTGTGTCGACAGATCGGAATATACCTGCCTCTGCTTTATTTGTTAAACCCGCGAATTACTAATTGGAACGTTTCATTGATACTGGACCAAACCACTTAAAAGTAGATACGTTTCATTCGCGTTATTAAATACCTGAACGTTCGATCCGAAGGCAAGAATTCTCTAGAGAACACGTGCTGCGTGGTGCTGTTTAAATGGTATGTGACTTTGTACGCTAGTATTTCTCCATTGGGGTCCTCTGGTACATCCCAGATGATGCGCGCAGTCGTGAATGTCACATCAGGAAACGATACGTTGGAGGGTGGACCGGGAGCTAGAAAGTGAGACATGATAATGCACGTATACTGACCAGATTGGCGATATATTAAAGAATGGCCACATTAAAAGTACCCTAAACCGACAAGCATGCATGAATAGATTGATGGCTGATGATGAAGCGAAAGAGGTATGCAGGTATGCAATCGTAGCAATTGGCGTAGTCTCTGCCTACTCTCATGGGAAACAGACGTGAAGTTATGTTTGTATGTATGGGCATATTTTTGTAGAAAATCTAAATCTTTAATTTTAATACATACTGTCATCAAAAGTCCTGACTGTAATCGGAGGGTCGCTCAGTGCTCCATCTCCTAGCCTGGTATAACCCAACACCTGAATTTGATAAACTACGTATTTTCGCAGTTCTGTTAGCGTTATAGTGTGAGTTTGGTTTGATGGCACGGCTTGGCATTCCACCTTCTTTTGCTCGGGTCTAGGCGGTGGCACTACCGCCGCGTAGCACACTTTGTATCCTTCAATTAAACCGTTTTGTTCTGAGGGCGGTATGTCGCCCCAAAGGACGACCACGGTTGTTGATGAGGTCGCATTAGCTGATACATCGGCGGGACCTCGCGACGGAACTGTAACATTTTGACGAAGTGTTATAAAAACAGCGCTTTAAATTTTAATTTTCCACGTAATTTTTTCCTTAATTAATAATTGCAAGTAATTCTTGGACTGATGTAGGTTGTAAAAGGATGCAATAAAGTCTTAGGATGTGTGCTTTCCGTAAATTGTTTTAACTCACCTGCTTCCCTTGTCCTCTCTGTAGCAGTTGGACTAGCAGCTGACGTGCCTACTTCGTTTATAGCAGTCATTCGTATTTCATACACCGACCATTCTTCCAAATTAGACAGTATGTGTGAGTTGGCCGTGTGGTCCTCAATAATGCTGTGTAATGTGTCGTTACTATCACTCTTCGTGTACGTTATGTTGTAGCCTTTTGGATTACCGTACCATTCGCTTTGCTGTAGAGGCTGAAACATGAAACATTTCCTATAGAATCCAGCTATTAAAATAATAATAAATTAATAATTTGAAGTAATGATGTCTTACAATCCATCTGACGCGTAGGTTGGTGGCGCTAACTGCGCGTACAGTGACGTTTTTCGGTGGGTGTTGCGGTGGTGCCTGGATAGTTTGAAATTCTTTACACGGCTCTGAGGGTGGTGACGAACCCACCACGTTGGTGGCAATTAATCGCAGTCTGTACGTAGTGAATGGTACCAGACCAGTCACATGTATCGACTGAGCGTCCGGCGCGTTCACTTCGAATATAGTCACCCATGATGAATTGCGTGCTGTTTGAGCCTGTTATGCAAAGAGTATAATAAGTATATGAATGGTCATTGTAATCAGAAAGAGTAAAGTCAATGTAGATAAATGAAATGGTAATTATATTTGACAGGAAATACAGCTTAAACTGAGCAATGGTTATAGTAGTTTTAAAATGTTACCTGTACTGTCCAAAGTGAAATAGAGGAATTGCCATCAAATCCGTGTGTGAACTGCAGCATTACAGAAAAGGCCTCGATGTTGGAGAGTGCTAGATTGCGAGGGGCATCAGGTAGCACAGGTTCTACGCCCGATTGGATCACTGCGGCCCTCGGCGGCCCCTCGCCTACTACCGTCATAGCACATAACCAGAACCTGTAGTGTGTGCTAGCCTGAAAAAAAAAATAGATTTGTCACCTTGTACACCGGAAATTGGGGAAAAATGAGGTGTCTGTGACATACTTCTAACTTTTATTAGTTAGGTATTTGTGCATTTAACGAAAATTACCTGTAAGTGCTCCACTCTAATGCTAGTGACGTTTGGTGGCAACACCTCTTCTTTGAATGTCTCATTGCTATCTTTCATCTGATAAGACAGCTTGTATCCTACCAAGATACCATTAGATTTTTTAGGAGCTGTCCAAGATACTCTTACTGCGCGATCCGATATATCATCAAAAAGTAGACTTCCTACTTCATCTGGAACTGAAAGCATACGAAATAATGTAACTATCTTATCAATGTAATAATAATACAATTATTCATCAACATTTAACAATAAGCATAAATCTGCATCGTAATATCTGAGCTCTCGTTACGAGGCAGCGGGTCAAGTCAATGCAGGTGAAGCACTGTGTGTAATATTAAACGAATCATTAAAAGCCACTTTTGTTTTAGTTTCTAAACTAATTTAGTTGTGTTACGTTAAGCAATAAAACATGCATTAAGAAAAAACCTGAATAAGTATAATAATTATAACTTCTGAAATGTAGGCTTACTGTCTTCGTTTGTCCTAACTTGCACGTATTCACTGCGTGGTCCATCGCCGGGTTCCGTAAAGCATAAAACCGTGATGTTGTACATTGTAAACTTTTCAAGTCCCGTTATGATCGCTGATTGTTCAGTCAAAGGATCCAAGAGATTGGGAGGTACACTGACGAGTTTCTGCTCGACGTTAGCCCCTTCATTCTCGTCCCAAATCCATGCTTGCATTTTGTAACCCTATGAAAATTATAATAAGTAAGGTTAAATGTTTATCCATAAGAAAGAATCAGTAATGCATGACGGACAGACAATTTTTGACAACTTATACAAACCTGGTTTATACCATTAATTTTCTGAGGGTTTGGAGGAGTCCACCAAACCTTTATGACGGTAGAGTTAACCGCCTCGCAGCGAACACTATCCGGAGGCGCTTCGGGCACGCCTTCTTTAGTTTTGATCGTATAACTATCGGAAAATACACCAACGCCTTTATCATTGTAGGCAGCTATTTGTACGTTGTAATCTTTCCAAGTGATCAAGTCCTGAATGAGATAGTTTCTCTGTGCTTCGTTCGTAATGTTTTGATAGGTCCACGGGCTATTGTCATAACCCTTAAGCCTATATCGTATAACGAAACCCAAAATGTGACCGTTTCTGTGCTCCTCTAGAGGTGGCTGCCATTGTGTTATGATCTCTGAAGACGACCGCGCTGATCCCATAAAACCGACTGGGGGACCGGATGGGGCTGCAGGCATAAATTATATCGTATTAGCTGATCATTCTTAGACATTAAAATGGGTACTGTTACGTTAAAAAATTCGCAGAGTTGGCATTGACACATGCTGGGATGCTGGTATCTTTGTCTGGTTATATGAAATTTTCCAAACGTTATTGATAATTTAATATATAAAACTGTGAAAACGTAATATTTTAATCGGTCAATTGTGTTTATAAACCAATCCAGAAATAATAAAAAAGACATAATGCATGCTATAAACCATGCACGAGGAATTCAAAACAGAAATTATTAAATTTAATATCACAAATATTGTTAACTACTGGCAAAAATGTTGTAATTAGCTTGGACAAATCACGTTACATGCAGACAGTACACAGTATTGCAATCTAACGAACAAAATAAGACATCTGAGACATTTTCATTTATTGAAGCAATAAAATCAGGACAGGACATTAAAATATAAAACTATGAAATTTAAGTACTATATTTAAGAAATTTTAAAATTATAAAAGGCGTTCAAAACAAATTCGTACAGATGCAATTTTTTAAAATAGTCTGCATACCTTGGCAGCATATTAGGTCACTGGCTGCTTGATAGCAAACAGAATACAATTTAATATAATAATGAAACACCGATACAATCTTACCTCATGGGACAGCAGATCACATAGACTTAATTGCATTATTACAAGATGTTAAGTAAAACAAACAATATACTTAGTGAGTATTACTGTATGTGCAAAAATTGTGTAATAGTGCTTTTATAACAGACAATAAGAAATAATTATAGGAACACAACATATATAACATGAGTATGCTGAATTCTATAATGTCAAATATTTCAAGGCTGCGTAGCCTCGTGTTCGTGTGTTAATCCTATCCCAATACAAGTGTATTGTTTCACAACTATAAGCCGTCCATGTCAGCGCGCGGACGTTACCAAATATTTCGAATAACTTTACGCTTTGTACTCGCATATCACAAAGAATTAATTATTCCATATTATTAAAAATGTTATCTGCCCACCGCTAGAATTCCGCATTTATTTAGTCTCAAAAAATTGTACCCTTCCTCTTTTGGTTTGCTTTAGTTGGGTAAATGATCAAGATTTTGTTTATTAGTGAAGTGGCATTACTTGGTTTGTTAGGTATACATACCTTCCTGTGGCAATGTCAAGACATCAGTAGGATCAGAAGCAGGGCCTTCTCCAACGGTGTTTACGGCAGATACCCTAAACTGATAAGACGTAGCGGCCTTTAAACTGGTGAGTAGAGCCCAACGTTGGTTTGCAGAGACGTTCACCGGCTCCGTTACCCAGTTCAGCAAAGGGTCAGGTGTAGGACCTATTATTAAAACAACGAAAGGTATTAACAATAATGTGTTAAATAATAATGATATTAAAATAGCGAGGTGGTGGCGGTGGTCTATATTTACCAAATTCGGGAACAACACGTCGTTGTACAATGAATTTTTGTATGGGTGAGTTTCCATCGAAGCCCGGAGTCCAAGATACGTTAACGGCTCGCTGTGATGCGGCATCTAATCTGACAGCTCTTACATTTGTAGGAGCGAAAGGAAGTTCGATGACGGACAACACAGCATGTCGCGTGTGATTCCCGCCCGGCGACGTCACAACACACGTGTACTCGCCCGCGTCACTGGCGCGCACGGCCTGCACTTGTAGCGCTCCATCTGCTGATACCCACACCCGAGAACCAGCTGTCATTGGCCTACAACAAAAATACAAATTAATACGTCATCAAACGTCATCAACTTTCATTTCGAAGAATAAAAGTATGTAAATGTTTTCGCAACTCACTGTTTGTTGTGGAACCAATCAATATTATACTTCACATTCGGGTCGTTCGATACTTTGCATTGTAGTGTTGCCGTGTGACCCAATAACACACGTGTATCTACAGGTGGAGCTATGATTTGTGTTCGAACTGAAACAATAAAAAGTTTGTTTTCATTTAGGGGTGCTTGATGTTATTTATTATAAATATCGTACACTTATATATTTTTTTGTAAATCACGAGTTTAGGTACCTAGATATAAAAAGCGACTACTACCGAAAGCGGTCTAAAACTTAAATGAAAAATACTTTTCCATTTCATCAAGTAAAATGACGTTGAAAAGGGTAATCTTTTGTGCACCCAGGAGCTTTTTCCGTCATTTTGAAGATATTATCTAAATGGTTTAACAAAAAAAACATCTCTTTCGCTTTTGTCTAAGAAGTTGTTTGCTCATTTCATTTAATAGAGAATTGCTACTTTTACCGAAATTGGTTTTGAACATGATTGAGAGCTGAAAATCATCGAAATAACATTTTCTTATTTTGTCATTGACTTATTAGTATCTATGTGTTACACTGTATAGGTACTTTTATGTTTTATTCTTCTTTTTTCATAACTCTGACTTACTTGACCTACTTTAATTACAAATAGCTAATTTGCTAAAACAAAAAATATATCTATCTCACCATGATAACAATCATGATAGCAATATAATGCTTACTACATCTATCAGAAATAAAAATTGGTGATATCAAAATGTTGATAAATGCAATCTTTATCGATTACCTCAACATTTTTAGGTGACTTATCGATTACAGGAATATTACAAATGGATTACTAACGAGAAATTCTTTATACAAAATGGTATGTATTTATAAAATTTGTAAACACGTAGTCATGATGAAGTAAGTACCTAGTACAGTAAGATACGCCTCCCCGGATACATTCCCAGCATCGTTGGATCGGACGCAGGTATATTTTCCACTGTCAGCGTTCGTTGTACTTGTAATTAACAAGTCGCCTTCTTCAAGTGCTTGCAGTCGCGCCGACAAGTTTATGATCAAAGAATCTGTAACATACGAAAATGTTCAAACAGAATTACTAACATGTTTGAGACGGATTTTAAAACCATTTCTTTTCTTTTATCTTAGAAAGATTGGATACAGTTGGTATTAATTATAGGCATTATTAATATTTAAATTAGTAATTAACATTTTCAAAAACTAGAATATTTATAACCTGAGGCCTTAGTACGAGTTTGATTTACGTTTAAAGTATTCGAAACGAGTATGCGTTCAGCGCTCTGATTGGCCGGCGCCAATGAACCAACCAATCACAGCGCCGAACGCGTACTCGTTACGATTACTTTAAACGTAAAACAAACTCATACTAAGACCTCTGTTGTACATTTTGGCAGTGAGTTATAAATACATGCATAATTACAAGTAATTTTTCACGAGAGTTGATATTCAGTGGACTTGTAATAAAGGAGGGTTGTGAAGTGTCGTTAATTACTAACCATTAAAGTACCAGGTGACGTTGGGGGTGGGTGCTCCGACGGCGCGGCACGTGATGGTGGCGTCCTTGCCATCGAGCACGGTCAGGTTGTTCGGCGGAGTCTGCATTATGGGCGGGGACGCTACAAGCCACACGCACACAGTTAGAACACGAACTAGCGGGTTAATTCCATATACGAAATGTTCTAGGATTAAATATTACACAAAACTCTGTGATACTTTCTCTCAAAGTGAAAAGCGCATGCGACTATAATAATATAAACAAAATTATTAATTTGATATGTGCATTAGTACTGCGATCTTTAAAAATAACAGTAGGTTTTAAACATGCTTCAAAAAATATGAGAATTGTATTTTTTTAAAACCACCATCATAATACTTTTAGATAAAATAACATTCATACGATATCATAAAGGTGTTTATTAATTTCATGGTGGATACGTGTAAACACCATAATTTTAAATGGTCAATATTGAGCGCCGACACTTAGTAAACCGCACAGGTGTCTCGTGGCCCACTATAATTTTGCTGGGAATGAATGAATTTTTTAGAAGGATGCGCGTTAAATTCTTGCGTTTTACACGCGCCATAGGTACTACATAAAAGTAGTGTTGTTAGATTTCCTCCACCCGGATTAGTTATTTACGTGCCGTATAAAATCGAACATATAATAATATATTGAATTCATATTAAATTGCTAAATATACTGCCGATTAGTGTTCAAATATAAAATATAGTATATCTATGTCGTTAAATAATATAAGTACATGTTATCTATCTAAGGATTAGAAATATAATCTCATAATGCAGGAATGTTTCTAATAAATCAGAATTATCTAATAACAAATCAAATAACTAAATAATTAAAGGAATCAATGTCACCTAAGGCGAGGGAATAAAACATTGGTATTTAAAGCAATCATCACTCTGTGCTGAAAAAGAAAAATCATCTATGCTATATGTGAGAAATGTAAAATGTCAAGTAATTATTCCTTACTGCCGGTGTCAAATCTGAACGTTTTTGCCTTTTTATCGGAGGTCCGCATTCGTATTAACTTCATGTGACTTCGTGGAAGCCGCCTATTGTCCTTCACTGCACGATAGTGGCATACGTTAATTAGTCAGTATTGTTATTTTACTTACACACATTCAATATGACAACGACCCTGAGCCATACAGAGCTTGACGGATTAGTTGACTCGTAGTACGCGCCGGGAACGAATCACACAAAATGTTCTCAATTTACATATTTTTTGTAAATCGAAACAACGAAACATCAATACTCATGCATTGTTTTAGTCTGGTATTCACAGATTTAATTATAAAATACATAGTTTTGTAAAATTATATTTAGTATTCAACTTACTTTTAATCTTGAGCCACGTATAAATGGAAGATTCGCCGGCTTCATTGCTAGCAATGCACTGGTATATTCCAGTATCCTCCATTTTAAGGTTGTTAATGACGAGAGACCGATCCACTTCCACTCGATATCTTCCACCGCCGTCATCTATGTCTGGATTGTCAGATTCTTCGGCATCTGCTCCAACACTAGCAATTTTTCTAGCATCCTTATACCAAGTGATGCTAGGTAATGGAATACCTTGCACGTTACAGTCCAACACGATCGTACTTCCGAATTCACCGAAAGTTTCCGATTTTAAATTAGACAAAAACACTGGCTTTTCCAAAACTGTGACATAAGCGGAAGCCGTGACAGTAGCATACCCTCCAGTTTTCAGTCTAGCCTGGCATGTATACTTCCCTGTGTGCGTTAAATTGGCTGATATAAGAGTGAGGGTTCTGTTCCACTGATCGTTTAAGTCGAACGTAACCCCAGCTAAATCAATCATAATCCCATCTTTAAACCACAAGGTTTCTAATTCGTGTAATGGTCTTGCGTTTGCAATACAATATAGACTTGTGTATTCTTGTCCTTTCACAATTTTGGTGTCTTCTGGTTTTATAATAATTTCTGGAGGTATTTCTTTACTATCATTGCCAAAAACGTTAAGTTGTATATATGGGCTGTTTTCTTCTTTTCCTAACTGCGTATTTATAGCACGTACTCTGAAAATTATCATACACAATTAACTTTCGGCAATCAAAAATAATCAACCAATGTTTACATAACCAGTGCATGAGCACGAATGTGGGTACAATGAAACATATAAGTGAAATAAAGCATGTATAACCTGTACGCCTTCTCATCTTCATGTGAAGTACACAAGATTACAAGTTCATGTTTGTTGGTGACAGCATATTTTTGGTCATATCGCAGAGCACCAATCTCATCTTGCCATATGACCGATGGCGGTGGTTCTGATTCTATCTTAGGAAATGCTAAAACTGCCGCTCTACCAGACTCGACAGTTACGATTGTTTCAGCAACTGGTTCAAAAACACCCATATCTGTTAACAACGATCATTTTAGTTAGAGGCTTTTAGATGTTTATGAGTTGACGAAACTTCTTTTTTATACAAAACTGTACCGTTTCCAAGACGGGAGACTTATTTTTCACCAAGATTATTCCGCCTACACAACAAAGACACACATGAAAATACAAAGAGATGTATGAAAGTTTACTTACACGCGACGACAATGTTGTTCTTTTCGCTGAATATTGCTCCGACATCATTTTTCGCTATACACTGGTAAGCTCCGGCATCCTGCCGCTGGGTATTATGAATCTTATAAAACAACTCTGATGAATAATCACTGAGTGGTACCCCATTCCGCAACCATCTGTACATTGGTTGCGGTATGCCTAAAATGTTCAAATATTATCGTTTAAGATCAAGGTAATTTTAACGAAGCAAACAGAAAATTGGTTTCATACATGAAATAAGTGTATAAGATCACTTATTGCTATTTCATCAGTTCCCATTTATCACACTAATTACCAAGACACCAACTTACGAAATGAAGAAGCATAGTAAATGAACTTACCCATTGCAGAGCATTGTAAGATTTTTGTAGTACCTTCTCGAACTATACTATTTGATGATGATGGTTGCATGCTAAACCGAGGTGGTTGCATTTGTACTGAAAAAAAAAAGAAATTGTTCAGGATTTGTGTAAGACAAATAACATCCAAGGAGGTAGCTTATTCCAGTGTAAGTATAAAGTGTTAGTATACAGCTAATTTTACTTATAAACAATGCTGACAGAAAATCCAACTCCATTAACATAGAAGAAACATTATTTATTTAACCAGCCTGAGCTATGTTATGGTAGACGTGTTGCTCATTGACCGAATTTATCTCCACATCAAAATTGCTACTGCGGACGGGTAGGGAATCGTTGGCGGAGAACCACGCATGAATTAAGAAAGTAGAAACCTTTTATATTACAACGCTTAGAATACAAAACATAATGTTTGTCATAAAATAAGATATTAATTTAACCAGCTAGACTTTGTCAAAGATGATGCCCAGTTTTTACGCTCCCACGGGTAATTTCAAATATTTCACGATGGCTCGTCTTAATTAAAGCAACTTGCCTCGTTTTAGAACGTATTACTCGACGGCTAATTGAGTTTTTAAAAATCGAGAACAAAATATAACAAACTGTCAGCAAACATGCGCAAGAAAAGTATTACGATTTAATTTCTTATTGAACTCCATGATCATCTACAGTTGATCTAGTTTGTTTTTCGTTATAAAATGTTCATGTACACATGAAATCGTAACACAAAAATTCCCAAAAATACCACCTCCCCATATTTAGAATAACCGGCTCACATAAATTCATGTTCTTACAAACATATCTTAACCGGTGCTACCTATTACTCGTTGGAAATAGTAATGGGAACTCACGATAAAACAGATGGATAAAAATACTGCGCCACAATTAGGGTAACTACGAAAAGAAATAAATCGGTAGTAAACACGTCGAATAAGCCGTTGACAGATCGGTGTTAGTAAGCTCTGAAAATACGATGTATCTGCAGTCTTTGTTCGAAGATAAAAGTTGTAGACAGTTTTTTATGTGGATACTAGTAAAATCCTTATAGATGACACTTATTCAACATTTATTGTAACATATCGTTGACCTCAATTCTGGACCCTTTTCGTTAATAATTGTCTCAAAGGGATCATTAAACTGCCCACGTATAAATTTCAGTAAGCCTTTTGCGTTCCTAAAGCCTCAGGACCTGGTTTGTATTTGAAAAAAGTGTTAATAAATTCAGACTTCCGTTTTTGTCGATAGAGAACATTGGTGTATCAATGTTGAACATTATGACAGCACTACGGGACTACTAATAAGCTAGTAAGCCGTTGACAATCGTGTAAGCATGTTAACAAATTTTGGACGTTTGGTGAATTGACAATGAGAATGTAGATACGAAATGTTAAATAAGTATTAGAATATTTCGTTTTGGTCTTTAAGGCTACAAATCTAGAAACCACTAGATATGAAAGTAAAAATAATGTAAGACCTGTGTTTATAAAATATCTAGTACCTAACTATCAGTCTTATCTACCTACTTCAGTATTAATCAAAGTCTACTGACTTCAATACTTTAAACAATCAGTGATGCAATTTTAAGAAACAGTGAATTTGTTTATTTTTTGCTGAGCTCCTGATTGACTTCAGTGGGCCTGACCCAGTTACCATCAGTCAACACGTGTTGAGTATCATACCGACGGTTTGAAGTTAGCGTACATTAGCCTTTCCATAAACAGGAACAGTTCAAAGTTTACTGAAACATTTACCGCAGATAAGTATAGGTTACACAATAGTGTAATTGATACCGATGAAGCAGAGATGAACATTATGGAGTTATGAATAAAAATTCGTTTACTTTCTGTATTCACTCATCTGTAACATTCCAATAACAAACTAGCCCGTGGCCCGAGCCCTTGTTGATTTAAGTTTATGTAAACGACACAATATTTCCGAAGGCAGTTTTGTTGTAATTGAAAACAATGTTTGTACATACATTTGAATTTACTCCTGCTAAACGCTTTCAAACAAACTTTTAATACGTTCTCCAACAAACTTAAGTTGAACTGCTGCTGGAATATCGGTCGTTATTTAAATCTAATAACGAGTAAAGGGTGGAATAAGTAAAATAACGCTTGCTTTGACTTCGGCACTAAGTTCTAAGGCATAACATTAATTTAAACAGCGAGGTTGAAGTTTCATACAATTCGTGAAATAAATCGACAATAAAGAACCTATACCCTAGTGGAATAAGCGCTATTTCAGTAGATATTATGTGAGAGTGTGAATAATTATAGAACGCTTCATCAGAACTGCCGATAGAGAGACTGCAAGAGACTTGTTAACTACGACAAGTTGTATTATCGTATAACATTTCAGTTAGCAAAACTGGTGTTTATCTTAATTTGGCAATATCTGCTTTGATAAACTGATAAGATACACTACTTTTATTAGGTAGGTCATTGATACACTGAATTTTCTATCATTTATTATAATGGGAAAATTTCTTTTTTAAGTACTAACGACAAGACAACTAATGTTAGATGATGAATTTTAACAGGTCTTATATGGAGAGTATGCACCCTACAAGTACAGTTCACTAAACTCTATCCTGTGGTTTCACTAAGGTGTAACGTTGCTTTTCTAAATAACTAAAAATAGGATAGTAAAGACAAAAGAAAATTATATATCAGGACATTGAAATCATTAGGAGACAAATTATGTAACACTAACAGATAGTGTATCAGGCTTACTTTGAAGGATAACAAAGGTGTTTAATTGAATAAGTTCCAGCATCTTTTATCTGCTTGATGTTTGCAATCGAATTATGTTCTTAAAATGTCAAACACCGAGCGGTCACCGGTGACCGCAACCTATTGTTCTTTAATTGTGTCTATAATGACGGTACTCAACGAGTTAACTTTATTACTGGTCTGTTACAAACAACTACCCACAATTTTATAAAGTCCTTAAATTAAATAAAAGGGCATTATAATTTAGCGAATCGAAATACTTGTTTCATAATGAAAAGATGTTTTAAGAGTTTTCTTAAAGAATAAAATGCTCGTCCAACTAAGTTTAATATACGTGCTCCGCCCGGGTATCTCGGATGCGCAGATGTTTGTCAATAAAGGGATTTGTATTTTTTAAAGAGCAATAAAAAGCATTTAATATTACAGTTGTTCATTTACTTCGCAAAGTAAAAATCTTGGTTACTTATGTAAAAGTAAAACATGGTATGGGAACGCATCAAGCTAAGACATCAATATCGAAAGAACCGTTTCCGTTACGTGACTCACACCTATGGCACGTTTAGTCGAAGCCAGCGACTACTAACATACCAATAAGCGACATTCGATTCTAAAGGATTTATATACTTGGTACTTAAACTGGAATTCAATAAAGTAATATAGTGGAAACTAATTGACCAACACTTTTGGCAGGCTTTCTAAATAAGTGTGTTCTATTTGACCATTCAAACAAATGCCACAGTTGGGATCTATGTGCTTTATACTAATTCAGTTCAGTATCAACTTTTGCTTTCCTGCTTTTGTTGCTCAGTCTAAGTAACACAAAACGTAACCTGAGCTCGTACCACAAACGCCGGTCATGTGGACTTCATGTGTCTACTCATACGTACATACGTCACTGTACGGGAAACCCTTCGATTAGCTTTAGGTCCCTTTATAAAGAAGACTTTCAAGTGTCCCTTTACAATGCATTGCATAGTTCCCATGCATTTTGTTGACTCTATGGAGTTGGTTGGTGTTCTTGCTACTTGTCAATAAGTTGTAAGTACAAAGCTCATTTTGATTTATTAACAGTAGAATTTAGTACAGTACACTTGCCAACACAAACTGAAGCCGTGGATTCCCTAATTAACTGTAAACTGCAAGCCTGTCTGCCTCATCAGTGTAAATAGTGGATTGTGTAACGATTAATCTAGGTCAAAAGCTGTTATAATCCGGACAAACTATGAAACGAACTTGTACTTCAATTTACAATTAAATTCAAATGAGCTGAGTCACAAATAATCTTAGTCCTTCTTAAATATTTTTGTTCTACTGTATCCCTCTCTCTCTCTCTGAGTATCCGTTGTTGTTGTTGATGTAAGTGTGCAGTTTGACCGCAGTCCACGAACGGCACGCCACAGCAGTAACCGGTCGACGCCACCGCCGCCGACGCAACGAACACTGTAGCGAATAACATGGCTCATTTCCCAGAACATGAATGCAGGGTACAGATATACTCATACACAATGCAATGTAATTAAAGGCTTCTTTTGTCGTACTATATATACCAGTTGAATTTTATATCAATAAAGTTACTAACGCAATTGTGTGTATGAGGTAACAAAGACTACGAATGTTTAACGTTTTTCTAAATATGGTTTTAGAGTACAAAGCCATTGCCAGGAAACTGTACTTAAATGCCCATTACTAACTAGGTCACCGTTATAGTGTGATTTCTTTCATTGTTAACCTTCGTGAACATGTGATTGGAATGTAGGGGTTCTGTTTAGAAGAAATTCTTACTGTAAATGAGAATTCTGTTCTTTTTCTTTCAACGTTTATTAATCTATTAGAATTTCATGATTGTGTTTTATTTATTACAGTACTTTTGCTTTAAATTCGGTAACGTAATAATGTCCTGGCGACTGTTTCCCCAGGGAAACATTTATCAAATTGAGACTGCCTGTCACCCCTATTTTATTTACTAATACGTACCGAACCTATATTCTGTCTAATTACACAGAATTCATAGCATTAATCTGTTGATAGTAAGGAATATGATTAGACGTGGCTACCGATACACGATGAATGGCAGATACTTCATGAACTAATACGAAAATGGTATTTATTTATGACTAGCTACTTCCGCGCGTTTCACTCGCTCTGCTCGGCGCCTATTAATTGTAATATTTTGTAGCCTATAGCCTTCCTCAATAAATGGGCTATCCAACACAGATTTTTTTTTTTAAATCGGACCAGTACTTTCAGAGATTAGCGCGTTCAAAAAAACAAACTCTTCAGCTTTATAATATTAGTATAGATTCGCCATTATGTTGTTACAACTACATACTGTTGCATCGTTGT